TAAACGAACGAACGAACGAACAAAAACCAATAACCATCTCCTTAGAATGTTCCAGATACTGTATGAGGACGACTTGCTGCCCGTAACACGATGCAATGTACAGCAGGCAGTCGTTTATCAGGTGCGAGTTTACATCACCAACAACGTATCTATCTGTAACACTGGCCTCAAATAACACTGTAAATCATAATAAAAAATAATTAATAATAATAATTATTAATAATAATCAATAATAATAATTAATAATAATAATAATTAATAATAATAATAATTAATAATAATAATTAATATAATGAAAGGACGACTGACATGAATTAGGCTTATAGAGGAGTGCAGTTAGTTGCTTCTCTGACATATAGCATAGAGCCAACATCCTGAGGAGATTTCTCGATAGATATTTTGCCGCCAAAACCGGCCCGACTTTTTCCGTCAGCCATTTTAACGTGTCGCTGGCGACATCTCGGATGTTACCAACTGGCGAAATGAAAGCCGAAGCATTTTTGCTGTCTTGGCTGCTGTTGTTTTGGTTACTGTTGTTGTTTTGGGTCTGTGGTTGTTGGTGGCTGTAGTCGTCGTTGTTTTGCGGTTGTTGTGAGTTTAGTTGGTGTTGGTTTGATAGATTTGCATTCATTTGCGGGCTATAGTTCAGAGAGTTGACGGAAAAGTTATTGCAAAAATGATTAAGAACCTCGCTATTGTCGGCTGAATGATTGCCATTTTTCGGCTGTGAAGACATTGAAAGTGGAGAAGTGGATTCGGATGATAAAGGTTTTGTAGTGGCAGGCGATAATGATGGCTGTATGTTGTAGTCGATTTTAAGCTTTATCATTTCGTCATCATCTTCATCGTCGTAGTAGTTGTTTTTGCTATTGATATTATCGATGCTACTGCTGTAGAAGTAAGTTTTGCTGTAGGCAGTGCGACTCTTAACGTAGTCGTCGTCTTTGCCCGGGGACTTTTGAGCTTCTGAAATCGAAAGAAAAAAATATTTATTTAATAATGATAATATTAACAACATAATAATGAATAATGATAACGAGAATAATGAAATGAGAAATTAAATGTTCAAAATTTACATCCAGTTGAATGTAAAAGAAAAAATGGTTTGAAAGAACGAAAGAAGAACCGGAATATGAAGGAAGGTAGCTGTTATCATCATCCTCATCAAACAGAAGCAGTTGGCGATCATTGAAATATTTCTTATCCAGCTCATCAGACAGCTTTAGATCGTCGTCATCATTCTGAAAATCGTAATTGTTCTTAGCAGCCGTATCACCAGCCACCATGTGAACTTCGTGGCTATCTGGCTGCTGCTGCTGATGGTAGTGGTTTTCGTTATCGGCTACATCCTCCTCTCTTCCACTTACCTTCTCACCTAACTTTCCGACTTTCCGTGTCGACCGATCAGAACTTTCAACTCTGACGGCAAAATCTTTAAATCCGGAAACAGCTTCGACTAGTAACGTCGCAAAATGTTTCAAGAAGACATCCAACTTGAGGACGTGGATCATCTGGCCGATAAAAACTTTGTGATAAACTTTTAAAAACCCTTCGCCTGTTTCGTCCAAGCTAAATAACTTCACCAAGAGGGGCAGTAAATGATGCAAGATATTTTTATAAGACAGACACCGACATATTGGGTGGAACAACCTCCAAGTGGCTTCAACGACCAGTAAATTATTATAATTATTATTATTATTATTATTATCACCACACGAAATATTTTGAGTGGCGGGATTCATGTAAATCTTAACATAAGGCAGGACGACACTGTCAACCAGCAAACATTTCGTAACTTGCTTCACGAGTAGATGCTTCAAAAGAAATTCACTCAGCGCTTCGACACCACTTTCGCTGAGTTTCTGAGTAGGATCGGACGTCTTTTTAGTTAGAGTTTTGATATTAAACGGAGGTGAGAAGGATAGCTGGCATGCGGACAGGCAGTCATACAATTTGGGCAAGTAGTCAGGAATGTTTAAGATTCCAGTGAAGGGAGAGAGGATGATGTCAATTGTGGGCAGTGGAAGGTCGTTGAATGATGTGACAGCAGGATACGTGAATGCAGCTCCTATCTCCAGGTCCAACTCATTCCTAACTTCGACCGCAGTGGTCGGAGTGTTCTCAGGTTGTACCAAATTGATTGTCGTTGACGATGTTATGGTAGCTGATGTTGGAGTGGCCGAGACCACTTGGTTGGTCGTCGTCGTCATATTTGGCGGTAGGTTCAACAAATATTTTATGCAGTTTCTAATGAATCTGTGAAACGAAAATTTACACGCAAGTTTTAAATAAATCTGCCTAGCTAAACAAAAATTAACTCCATCTTCAAAAACAAAACTTACAAGGGAAATTTGAAAAAGTGGCTGTTAACGTAGCTAACAGCTAACTCATATCTTTGTTGCAGAGGTGAGAGGTCAGGGGTTAGGTGAAAGTTGATGGTCATTTGAAAAAGTTCAACCAATAAGCAGCCGAGAAATTGCATGTCGCGGGTTATTACTGATAGGATGACGTCCGAGGACTCGTTTACATTTTCTTCTTTTGGAAACTAAAATTAATAAACGAATAAAGGAATGAGTGAATAAATGGGTGCATAAGCGAATGAATGAATGGATAAATAATGAATTTTTTCGTGTTTTAGATAACTAAACTTGGAAAGAACAACCTGAAGATGAGGATCGAACTTATTAGTGATGTGGAATGAGAAATCGAGAAATTCTTCCAAATCCAGCAAATTATTTATGCAGTCTCCAGTGGATGGCGAGTCATTTTTTTCTACTTTATCCGACAAGCTTCTGTTTTTAATTTGAAAATACTTCTTTAAATTTTCGTTAGCTACACGAACGGGCGAGAACAAAAAATACACTCAAGTACGACCAAACGCAGCACGAAAAGTTGCTAATTTTATAACGAATCAAATTTTAAAACGTTGAGTCGACCAAAAAATGGATGAAACCAAACCTGTTAGCTGCAATCGTCGTAGAGCAATCAACATCACGGTCATCATCAACGTCTTTACCATCATTTCCAACGAAAAAATCAAAATTCAAAGGCACATTTTCGACTTTTAAATCATCGAAATTAAAATTAACGCACGTTTTATCGGCGAGCGATTCGTTTGAAAATAATTCGGTATATTTATTTAAAATTTTTTCGTTCGAGTTAGGTAGGTTATCTTTTATTTTTGATCTTTTTTTAGGGTGCGGGAGTGAGAAAAGTTGCACGACGCCGTGATTGGAGAGAGTTTGGTGTTTATCCACAAGCTGCAGGCAGACATTCTTGCCTTCTACTGCTGCCAAGCCGGATAACTTTGTGAGGATAGGAATGAAGTTTGAAAAATATATTAGAGAAAAAACAATTTCTTGTCAACTCAACATAAAATAAAGAATCAACATCCAATCAACCAAAAAAAAAAAAACAAACGAACAGTTAAAGGCAGAAACCTTGTAACCGAACGTCAGGTCAATCCAATTATGGAGCTGTTTAGACACCTCCTCACTCTCCAGCACCATTCTATGGACCTCCAGAAATTCCTCAACATTGGAACTCCACATGGGGATTTCCAGGTCATTGAGGTCGTTGTGGCAATTGTGGAAGGTGGTCACTCCGTCTAGATAAAAAGCCGGAATGCATTCATCTGGGGTCCATTCGTAGAGGCGGGATATACTCGTGGGGTAGTGGGTGGGTTGCCAACGGGGCCTAACTATCCGGCAGAGGACGTCACTGGGAGTGGAACGAGCGATGTACACGTAGTAGGCGATGTCGGAGAGGTAGTCGGATACGTGGAATGGTGTCTGATTGGGATGGGACATAACCGATTCCGGATTTGTCGAGTCGAACGTCAGATCTAATTGCTCATCCCCTGTTTCGTTTCGTTTCGTTTCGTTTCAGGGTTAGTGAAATAACGAGTGTGAAATTAAAATTGAAGATAATTACTAACTATATATACATATATAACTATAATAACCTATAAAAATGTCGATTGAGTTTCTTTTTTTCATCACGTCAGCCAATAAAAATTAACTCAAAAATAACTAAAGACTTTAAAAAGAAATAGAATGGCAAATATCGAATGATAAACGTCTTAGGCTGTGAGGACCTTTATTGAGGCGGTACTTTGATTTAGTCAGATCTCTGTGCTTGGCTTTTGTGGACGGCTTGCCTGAGAAGTCAATGACCCATGGTAAAATCGGGTGGTGGTTTGGCTCCGACACCCTTCTACCTGCATTTTTTTTGAGGTAATTTTTCATTGGGGAATACTTTTTTAAAGTTGTGGAGTCATATTTTTTTCATTCACAAATTCTCTTTAGTATTTTAAAAATTACAAATGAGTGATTCAACAGAATCTGATCAAAATAAATGAACCAACCCATCAGACCGCTCAACATTTTGAATACAAACTGATACAAATAAGCACAGAATTGAAGACAAATGCAAGGGAACCTGCTAATTTATTGAGAGCCATTAGGTAATCGAAATTCGACAAACCACCAAACATCCAATCTCGGGTCAGTGATGGCAGAGTATACTGAGTGACTTGGAGTAGATTACTTTTATACAGTAGTGTTTGAGTATTTGCTGATGAGGAACTGTTAATAGGTGGTTTGGCGTTAATTTGGTTTTGCGGCAGTCTGTCAATGTATTCAATCAATTAGTTAGTTTATTAATTAATTAATTTATTTATTTATTTATACACCATTTATTAGAAAACAAAGTTAAACAAAATTTCATAAACAAACAAACAGACAAACACACACACACACACACACACACACAAACCAACTTGCACACAAACAAAACAAAACAAACTTGCAGTTTCGATAAAAAGCTTTAAAATCAAATTTCATAATCTTCAGCCAGAGTAAATCATCAACAGAGAAATCCCTCAGACGTACATTAGCAATGTTAAGACCCAGAGAGTGTAGAAACCGCACGCACGATAAAATTTCATAAACCACTAACATCTGGCTAGGAATTTCTGATAACTTAAGAGGACTGAATGCCAGCAGGTCACTCAATGTGTATTTGCACTGAGGTTGGAATATGTAGAAGTGGCTAACTGTCTCTGCTGTGAAAAATACTGGATATATGCATGAATGTGCCGGTGAAAAGATGGTATTAGCACTGCTTTGACAGTTATTTTTATTATTTGTGACATTATTATTATTATTATTGTTGTTGTTGCTGTTGTTGTCTTGATTTTTAGAGTAATACTTTTTAAAATGATCGTCTGAGCAATTTTTTAAAAAATCCTCACTCGGCAGTGGGAATCTGCCATAGAGTTTTAAAAGGACATCTCTTACGAGGTCATTGTGGTGCTGTGAAATTTATTTATGTTTTATTTATTTGTTTATTCGTTCATTCATTCATAATTAATTCATTTATTTATTCATTGGTCAGTTTACCTTTCATTTCAACATCCATCCTTTGGTTATACATTTTTTCAATCAGTCATTCAATCAAGAACAAAAACAAAAAAACAGATAATAAGAAAAAGGCTGGACAACCAAAAAAAATAAAACACAACAAAACAAAGAACAAAACAGAAAAAAATAGAGCAATAGCCAAACCTTAATCGTCAACTTTTTGACACAGGCAGAAGTCCCTGAGCTGCATAGCAACGCATTTTTACAAACATCCCTAGCATTCCTATTTAAACACTGCTTTTGCAGGTCAGAAATAAATGATTTTATTTTAATATAAGTGGAAATGTTTGAGCTAAAAGGCGATGACAATGGGGATGACGATCTTTCAAATGCCGTTAAACTTTCTTCTACCAAACTGTTATAATAATGTGTCCAAATTACATTAAAGAAAATTATCAAAACATTTAAAAGTGAATTTTAAAATATTTAATTTAAATTTTTTTAAATAATTTAAAAAACTACCTTTCCACCATTTTATCTTGTTTTTCGATTGAACGAATTGTAACAGGGGTAAAGCCATCTAAATGCTGATTGGCTGTTGCCTTAGCCAATAGCATGACAGCAAGACTTTTGCTCACATTCTGATAGGTTGAAGATTTTACTTGAGGAACAAAACAGTGATGTGCATGATGGTTTTGTTCTACCCAGTCTGTAGGCACCTAAAATGTTTATTAAAATATTGAATTTTTTTTTATTCTAATAAACATTTTTTATCTAGTTTTATATCCTAATTTATTAAAAATAAACAAAGATAGATTTTTAGTTGGGGTAAGTGTAAAAGGTTAATTCTTATCTATGACAAAAATGATTTCATCAATTTAGTTAGAATGAAATAATTAATATTAAAAAACATTAATTATTTAATTAATTTATATATAATGTAAATGTCACTTGTAAATTTTGTTTGGTAAATATATTAAAAAACATAGCTACCAAACATTCAATGCAGTCATTTGACAAGGATGATGAGGGACCGATGGCATATTCTTGTAAAATTCCAAAATTTTCTTGCAGATCTTTTGCAATAATATTGAAATTCATTTTTCCCTTTTTCAAATCATTTTTTTTCAAATTTTATTTTAAAAATAAAAATCTACTACTAATACACTAATAAATCTACTACTAAAGCACTAATACAGTCTAATAGTCTTGAAGAGCTCTTCTTTCTAGTTTCAAGAGAGCTTCTTCTTAAATCTACAATCCTATTATTTTATTTGAGTGTCCACCAGATAAAAAAATTAATTGAATAAATAATTAAATTAAATTCATAATAAAATATTTTAAATGCGTCCAATTATTTATTTAATAAAATTAATCATCTTAATTATCATCTTCGAAGTTTAAAAAACTAAACAACGAAAAGGGGAGTTAACAGTATCAAAATAGGACGCGTTCTTAGTTTCTGTTACAAAAATGTATGGTGAATCAAAATTATTTATCACTTCGTTAAACTTGTTCGAATACTTCCGGTCTTATTTGACATTTTAACGTTATAAATGGCTAAAATAAAACATAATGCACTCAAATTTTTATTTTGAGCCGTAGCGACGGTAATAACAGTAATAAAAGTGACCCCAAGATCATATGAAGTTTCACAAATAAAATTTTATAAAAAATAATTATTATAAATAAAAGCCCCGTGAATGATCGAACAAACGACAAATTTCACATCTAAATTGACATTTTATAATTTGCTATAGTTCAATTCCATTTTCTAGCCCACTCATATTCTTCTTAATCATCTCTCCATGTAACATCCACATCATCAGTCCGATACCTGAATAAATGAATAAATAAGTAGAATTCAAAGTTTTGAAGTTATTTTATGTAGCAAAGTCGAGCCCCATCTATGATCACAACCTTTGCGTGCAAAATGTATCTTCCCATTTCGTGATATCATTGGCTTGATACATGAGATACCCTGCCTGGGCTATCATTGCTCCGTTATCAATGCAAAACCTCTCGTCTGTTGCAAACAATTTGGCGCCTCTCTCGACCGCCATTGTTCTCATCATCTCTTGAAGACGTTCGTTGCCTAAATATGTTTTATTGGTTATATTTTACTTTTACATTTACATAAATTTACATAATTAAAAAAAAAATATTTGCGCAAAAATGAATAAATAAATAAATTAAGCATACACATACATCCCACCCCACCAACGATGAGTACTTCGTCGTTGCCTGCATGGGCCATGGCTCTTTCTGGTAGAGAAAATTTTAAAATATCTATGGTAAACAAAAGTTGCAGGCCGGCCCGTAGTTTGTAAACCCGAGAATTGCAATCAGAAAGTAAAGTAAAGTAAAGTTTATTATATATTCATTATTCATAAATTCATAAAAATTGTAAACCTGTGATCTCGACGAGCATGGCGAAAATGGTTTCTTGCAAAGAGAAACAAAGGTCTTCCTTTGTATATTCGCCAGTCTCTATTAACTTCAGCGCCTTTTTCTTTTGAAATTATTTTTAAAAACAAAATAAAAATAATGATATTAAGATGAGTATTTATATAGCGCCAAACGAACGAACCTCGATGAACGAAAGAATTCCAGAGAAGGAAACATCCATACCCTTTACAACGTAAGGCAGTTCAAGAAATTTGGTTCCTCTTTTGGGAGAAAAAATATTTATAATGAGTTTGGTCGTCGGCAAGATGGTATAATAATAATAATATAGAGAATAATTTAAAAATTTATTATACTTTTTGGCTTCTTGTTCAACATTATAGCCAGGAGATGGATCATTTGACAGCTTTCAAAAAATTATGAATAAAAATAATAAAAGAATGAGTGAATGAATGAGTGAACAAATGAACAAACGAATGAACGAACGAATGGATAAGATGAATGAATAAATAACATAATAAAACTCAACTATAACTTAACTATAATAAATCATAATCACGATAATTTTATTCATAATATAATTTATATTTTTACTTTTAAAACTCTGGCAAACCTATCCAGACAGTTGCCAATAGCGATGTCAATGGTTTCACCAAAAATTCTATATTTCTTTTCCATATATGCTATAACCTTATAGAAAGAATTAATTAAATTGACACCTTTGAGAAATCCTGAAGAAATGATTGATAAGAAAATGAATAACAACAACAACAACAATAATAATAAATAAATAAATAACAATAATAAATAATAAAAATTATAATTATAAATTATATTACTATTAATACCTGAGTGTTTCCACCACTGACATACAAGACAACGGGGTTTTTGGCGCCTGTTATCAATCTGCCCATTTCAATGTCTGGTGAAAAAAATAAAAACAATAATAAACTATATTGAATAATAATAACGAATTATAATAATAATAATTATTATTATTATAGATAACAATAAATTAAGAGACTTGTCACATGTGTAACAGTCCCTGGATTCAAATTCAAAGCTATCCCCTACTTATTAGCACGAGGCATTATTTTCGAATGTGTAAAGCGCTATACAAATAGCCCATCAACATTATCATCACAAATATATATAATAATAATTATTATTATTATCAACCAACCAACCAACCAACCAGTCAACCAACCAGCCAGCCAGTCAACCAACCAACCAGCCAGCCAGTCAACCAACCAACCAACCAACCAACTAATAAAAATCATTAATATAATTAAAATATTTATTAACTATAACAAAAAAATAATAATATCTTCCCAACGAGCTATGCAATGGTTGACAGCAAGCAATGGCTTGTCCCAGAGCTGAGCTATTGTCCGAGCCACAACTGCCACGGACACCAAGGGTGCTGCCATGCCCGGCCCTGAAAAATAAATTATAACAATTTTATTATTATAATTATATTAATGATAAAAAATAATTTTAATGGTAGTAGTAGTAGTAGTTGTGTAATGGTATAATGAGTGATAGTAGAAGTAATATCATAATTATTATCAATAGAAGTAGTGGTAAACTATGATAAATTATAATAAACTACCAAAAAATATAATTAATAATAATAATAATAATAAACACCTTTTGTATAAGCAACAGCATCGATATCGTCAGGCTTGACGCTAGCTTCGTTTAGAGATTGGTAAAGCAATTGTAGGATACAATTTCTGTGGTGTGCTGCTGTATCTCTGGGTAGGAATCCTAGTTTATATATTAAATAAAATAATATTTATTTGTTTATAAATATAGTTATAGGAATATTAGTCAAAATAAAATTCATACATCACATGCTCATCTTGTACACAAAGTCTCAAACATACCACCATCTAGACAGACATAAACATGCACTCATACAAACCTTGTCCAATAGGTGTCACGTAAGTTCTTCTGGGGTTAGATAGGACGCGCCCATCCCTGATTATACCTATTCCTATTTTATTTGCACTGCCTTCAAATCCGATGATCGTCGGCATCTTTTATTAGGAAATAAAATAAAATAATATTTAAATTATTATCTTTTTTTAATTTTTATAATTTATATCAGAAAAATCGCGATTATCAAAGGCAAGGGGAGGCCTATTTACCAGCATACAACACCTTCTTATGGGTTGAAGCAGGGATATGCAAAGAACCTCAATTTTTTCAACTTTTAATTATTTTCAGTAATATCTCCCCTTGCTCAAAACCACATAACTAGAATAATAGGACTAATCGATCAATTCGATCTATCGGACGGGTTAACGTTTCAATAAATAGATAAAAATATACAATACACATACACGCACACAAACTCACACACACATACCCACACACACACACACATATATATATATTTATATATATCTAACGCTTGTATTAAAAGAAGAATGCAAGCTTTTGAAATGCATAATGAGAACAACTATTTTTATTTCGTTGTTGTTGTTGTTTGTTGTTGTTGCTGTAATTATTATTATATTGTTGTTATTGTTGTTCGTTGATGGTTGTGATGATGATGATAATGATCGTCATCATAGTTAACAAGATTAACAGTATGACATACTTAAAATACATTGACAGAAATGACATGTATGTTTATTGTACTGCGTATATATGATGGTAGTATGTAAGTATGCGTGTATGTTTGTATGTATGTGTGTCTGTGTCTCTTTATGTGTACATGTTTTTATTCGAGATTTTAGTAAGAAAAGAAAAACACAACAGTTGCTTTTATTTGACATCATCAAAAGATGGAAAGTGACGAAAAATTGAAATTTTTTAAATGTCAATTTTTTAAGTTATGTGGTTTTGAGCAAGGGGAGACATTACTGAAAATAATTAAAAGTTGAAAAAATTGAGGTTCTTTGCATATCCCTGCTTCAACCCATAAGAAGGTGTTGTATGCTGGTAAATAGGCCTCCCCTTGATCAGAGGTATTTCATTAAACTATGGTAAATACTGCGAAACTTAACATGTCCCTGGAAGTTTACTTTTCAAATCTAAACACACCAGGCAATATAACAATTTGTACAACATTCTATGTAATATAGATATAATGTCACATATATATATATATATATATATATGTATATATATATATAATGTTAACCTACATATTGGCATAGTTGTCATTTAATGAACTATCTTAATTATATAAATAAATAGTATGATTATATGTTGTATTGTGTGCAATTGAACTGCTTATGTATATGTTAATGATTTAACTGTAACTCCAGTCAGTCATACTCATGGAAATATTTCCATGGTCATACTTCTAGTGAATTGATCAACTTTTGTATATGTGTGTTCTTATTTTTAAATTGATTATTTTATTGTATTGACGGTGGTCTTTACAAGTTTTGTTGATCTCCGCAAATCTGCTTGGTACATTCGATATCGATAAATAGATTTTCTAATTTTTATTTATTACATAAGTCTACTTTTCGATGAGGCATTTAAATTTCGTTACCAACGGAAAGATAGATAATCTTCTATTATGGCCCGAAGGGGTATCTGAGGATTTTTTGGTTTTTATTTTAATTTAAATGGAAAAAAATGAATTTTAAAAATAATAAGTTAAAACAAACGGAAAACAAGTTATCTGGATTGTACGATTTAGGCGAAACTATCGGGAAAGGTCATTATGCAGTTGTTAAAAAAGCAAAACATTGCATTTTCGGGGAGAAGGTTGCAGTGAAAGTTATTGAGAAGACAAAGCTGGATGAAGTTTCGAGGTCGCATCTCTTTCAGGAGGTTAGGTGCATGAAGTTAGTGCAACATCCGAACATCGTCAGGCTCTACGAAGTCATAGATTCTCCCACTAAATTATTTCTAGTCCTGGAGTTGGGAGATGGCGGCGATCTCTACGATTTTGTAACTAAACACGAACACGGATTAGAGGAAAGTTTGGCAAAAAAATATTTCCAACAAATTGTAGAAGCTATTAATTATTGCCACCAGCTTCACGTCGTTCACAGAGATTTAAAATTGGAAAACATGGTCCTCTTCAACCATCGCGAGGTCGTCAAATTGACGGATTTTGGGTTTAGTAACAAGTTTGTCCCCGGCAGCATGCTGGATACCTCCTGTGGGTCCTTGGCATATTCAGCTCCGGAGATTTTGTTGGGGGATAGTTATCATGCTCCTGCTGTGGGTTAGTTGTTGGGTTATTTTGTTTAATTTGTAATTGTTATTGGTAAAAAATGTTTGTATATTAATTAATTAATTAATTAACTGAGCAAATCAAATCAAAAACACTTATAAATAGAGCAATGAATCATTAGAATATTTTAATGAATGTAGGTAGACTGAAATCACTTTTATTATCTGATCATTAGTTTCTTATTATTAATATACTATAAAAAAACTGCTTAACGAAGTGTGTTCTACTCACAAATACACACACCCCTAACTAAATTAGCCCTTAAACTTTAAAATTCTACAAAAGGTTCACACCTAAATTTACTTTTATTCTTTTCACACTCCCCTGAACAGATATCTGGAGTCTGGGGGTGATTTTGTACATGTTAGTGACAGGAAAACCTCCGTTTAACGAGGCCAACGATAGTGAAACTCTCATCAAAATTATGGACGCCCAGTACGCCCAACCTATCCATTCTTCAAAAAGCTGCCAAAAGTATAAAAATGTTTCATTCTTGGTCACCATTTTTTATTTATAACATTATT